GAAAGAGGAGAGGACGCAGTCGCAGCAGGAGTTACAGTCGAACGCGGAGTCGGAGCCGAAGTCGGAGCTCCTCTCGATCCAGGAGTAGGGGCAAAAGGAGGTCAAGCAGCAGAGGAAGAAACAGTGAAACTCCCAAAACGAAGTGAGAAATAATTTCAGAAATTGCTAATTGATCAAATGTAGAGCTGACAAAGAAACCTTTCCAATAGGGCACCAGATACATTTGAGTCACAAATAAAGTGTTCTTGCACATTAAAACGTTTCTTCCTAATAAAGGACCCTAGTTTACTGTGTGCTAAGCTTAAGAAAATTAAAAGTCCTATATAAGGTGTAAATGTCAAGTACTCTAGCTACTCTGTCCCTCTGAACTACTGCAACATTTGGATGCATACCGAGTACAAAATAGAAAGAAGTAAAGCTTTTTTGGTATATGCTTATGCCTGTGTTATGTGTGTGTTAAGTGTTTACTGTCCCTGTAAGGAGTTAGTACAGAACAGCTAGTGTGCTGTAAATTCACACAGCAGCATACTGCAAGTTGAAGTCTGTGTAAAAGAGAGCCGTTTATGTTTACTGAATGTTTATCGGAATTTCCTTTCTAGACAAAGTAATATAATCATCTTATGCTTGGAGAAAAGGGATCTAAAAAGACTTCACAGTTTGATTGTACAATAGTTGCCCAGTAGGAGCTTTGTGGTCATAAGTGTTGGATTTTTCTCTCCTGTGACTGAGCTGCTGAGCTAATTGCCTGTAGGGATTGCAGTAGACTAAAACCAAGTAGGAATTACACAAAAAAATAAACAATCAATTTATTCAGTACCCTAATCCCCAAGTAAGAGGGGAGACCGTGCACTTGTAATCCTGGAGCGAAGACAGAAAATAGTTTGCATACCTCTTAGTTGCATGCCATTTGTATTTGAAAATCTCCTGCCTAACCTATGGTGGAGTGGTAGGAAAGGTGTAAATCTGGTCACTAAACATGCAGATGTAGTTGTAAAGGCTCAAGATGACTGCAGAGATGTTGCAGAGTGGCTAAAGAAACTGAAAAGGTTTATACCTGAAATAATACTTCAGGGTTTGTTGGGTTTTTTGTGGTTTTTTTGTATATTTTTTTTGTTGTTGTTGTTGTTTTTTTCAGAGATGACGATTTGATTTGAAACCCTTTTTAGGCTTGTATTACAAGCAGTTTAAGGCACCCTACTGCCTAGCTCCCCTACAGCCACGGCAGAGAGTAGGGTACATAAAAATGAAGTTATCGGGATGAAGCTTTCTTGAAATGACAGCTGTGTTAGCAAAGTACTTGCAATTAACAAAGTCCTTATAAATACTTCTCTCTTAAATGAAAGATCTGTGCTGTTAAATGGACTGTACTTCACCTGGCTTAACTTTAGGTATTTGACTTAGGCTCTTATGGCATTGTGTGTACGTGGAGAGAGCAGTTTGTGGTACGTAAGATGCAGGTGCCCTGATCTGTGTGCAGAGATATCTCCCTCTCTTCAGCCTCTCCAGAGAGTTTGGGACTCCTGCCTTCAGGGGGCAGCTCTAAATCGATGGAAGCCTAAAGCAGACATGAACTGCTCCCAAATAGATATTTGTTATCATTCAACAATACAGCGTAAAGTCCCATCAAAAATGTGGACATCCAAACTCACTATAGCATTCCTCACAGCATTTTTTTTTTCCCAGGATAGTTAAGAATGGATGAACATTGCTTCTGGTTATAATATATATATATATATGTTAATTTTTTTTTTTTTTTTTTTTTTTCTTTTCTAAATGCATATTGCACCTAGCATGCTGATGATACTTCTTTTCTTTTTTCATGTATAACTGTTGTCCACTATGGAGTAATTCAACAAAAGTGCTATATATTGTTGTTCAGTTCAAACCCAACTTTCATTATATGTTGTCATAACTGTAGACAGAACGGTAGCTTAGTTAATTTGATTAGATGTTTTAATTATTAACAGATATAGGAATTGTGATTTAATGGCATAACTTTTGAAGTAATAGTAACTTCACCTGAAAGGCATATTTCAATGGACAACACTAAGTTTTAAATTATATTGGAGAAATTTGAGACGACGAGTTTCTCATAACGTATCTTTTCTGACTACACTGTACAGATTTTCCCCAGGGTTTCTATTTTTCCATGGATGCTCACTTGTCTAGTTGGGGTACTTATGCAAAATGTGGCAAATTCACGCAGCTGAGCTGGCATTCCCTGCTTGCTGAGATGCATTGCTAACAGGCCAGTAAGATCCTCACATCACTGGTGCTGCCTTGCCTCCTGCAACTGGAATTCTGCTGAACCAGCCTGCTGGTTGAGGCTCTTGAATAGGAAAGATTTACTCTATCTGTAGTGTGTTGTATAGCCTGTGCTGTGCGGCAGGCTGTTGCTGAGGGTTGTGTGAGGGAAATAAATTACCAAGCTCAACCAGAAGCAGGTGTTGTGGGATGCTGTTTTGTGAAATCTGTGACAAGCTGGGTGAAATAAGTGAAGCGGACCTCTATAGAATTAGCAACCATGTGCCAACTAAGACCCACGTGAGAATTCCACAGGTAATAAGGCTCCTTCTCCCCACACTTTTGTAATGGGATCTGGGAAGCTGAGCAGCTGTATTTTTTTAAAAAAAGTTCTTATAATAAAAACTTGCTCAGAGATGCATGTAAAATTTAAATGTACTTTATTTCTGCTACTCTACCGGCCAAACCTTCAGCTGCTTTTTGTGAGATCTGGATCCAAACTCCCTGGCTGTACCTGTGCGCTGTAGGACTGGTAGCTGCGACTATTCAGTTTCACATCCTGTCTGCTTATTGCACCAAAACAAGTGCTGTAGATCTGACATTTTGTTTGCTTTTGTTAGCATGAAACCTGGAATTCAACCAGTTTTCAAATGTAAAAGTTGATATATTACGGTGTTGTTTCCCTACTTCATAATCTTAAGTAGTATCGCATGCATGGTTTTCTTTCCTTATTAGCTAAGTGAGCTATTTACTCTGAAGAGACGAGGCAACTAGAATTCCTAAACGTTAAGCTTCTTTCTCCAAAGGAGAAAAGCCCAGAACAACTTAGGATGGATTTAGATTTGCAAGGAATAGCTTGTTCTCACTTTGTGCTATTCTGTCTAATCCACATAGAAGGACTATGTAAAGTGAATTAATGGTGGTCCAGCTTTATGTGTGCTTTTATCTTTTGAATGACTGCTTAAAGCAGCTGCTTTCAAACTTTATTATGAAGTTTGTAAATATCACTAAAGTGCTTTGGATTGATGATGAAAGCATTATTTATACAAGAGCTGCATGAAGGGGGTTAGAGCAGCAGCGGGGCTCTCCTGCCAGGTCCAGCCAGCTGGGAGGTCAGGATCAGTAACAGGCGCTGCTCTGACCATTCTCTTGTGGAAAGGAGTAAGGTATCTGAGCAGGAACTTGAATGTTGAAGTCCAGCTACTTCATAAAAATCGTCCAACTCCAGGTGCTTACCCAAAATGTTTCCAGACAATAAGACAGCAGGTGTCCTGCAACAGGAGAGACAAAGGCACCTGGGAAGGCAGCACACCTTTAGGTTTGTGCTGGTGACTGCTTTGAAGTCTTCTCCCTTCCCAGCATGGTTGCCATGCTAGCTGAGTAGCCATTATCACACGGGCGTCAGGAGGACTTGCCCACACTCATATGCTAGACGCAAGGCATCCACTTTCATGAAGAGGCAACAAGCACAGATGAAGGTCTTTCCCTTGCTGATGGAAACAGACAGTCTGAAATGTATTCTAAGTAACTTTTTCAGCATTACATCCTTCAGTAGGATGTCTTTCTCAGATTCAGCTGCACATTACCACATTCAGTGTATTTATTTACTTGAACCAGTTGCAGCATTCTTGGGATGCACAAATAATGGCTTTCAGAAGAAATGCAAGAGCCTGCTCAGAGATGCTCTTACTTCCTGCCCTGAATCAGCACCTTTTGCAAAATGTGCAAGTCTATGCTAGTCAAAAAATTAAATGATATACGAAAACAAATTACACTTACAAAGAGTGCCACTGATTCTGCTTTCACTGTAAGCTTGCTGTAATTAAAATAACTCCCTATTATTCCATCCATCCTTTTATTCAGCTCTGATGCATCAGCTGAGTGCAGCATCTGTCACTGACACGTAAAGAAATAAATAAAAGGTAACTGACAAACTACAGTTCAGAAAACCATGAGACTGATTGGAAGGGAAGCTGTACAGGCACAGCCCATGAACACATTAATTGACAAAGGCAGCCACAGCATGACCATCATTATGGTGTTGACTCAAAGGGAACAGCAGACAGTTAGGAAAGGAATCTTCAACAAAGATTCCATGATTACACTGAAGACACTCAAGCAAACAATCTAAGCCTAAACAATCTAGAAATTCTAACATGCTTTTCGCTTCTCTTTTCGTTTGTCTCTTGGTAAGACAGGAAATTCAAGGAACAAAATTTTACTTTCACATATGACTGAAGGAATGCCCTAAGGTACTAAGATTTCCCCATGCTTTTGCTGGTAACATCAAGGAGTTCAGTTCTAGAAAGCTGGAAAGCAGATTAGCCAAGAGAAATTTGGGGCTGAAATGAGGATTGTAAGACTGCGAATGCTGCACAGCCATGTTCATAATTCCATTCGAGGAGCTGACTAGCAAGACTGTATCATCATCATCTAGAACCCTCTCTCAATCAGTATGTGGTTTAATTTCAAATGAAATGGGGCAACCGCATCATTTTACCATCCTTTCTAATAAATTCCATGTTTAATGTGATAAGCCTTCCAAAGAACTCGCTAATTTATTGCTTTCTGTAGAATTTAGATGGATGTAAATAACTAATCTTGGACACAGTATTCTCGCACATTTTTTAATAAAGTGCTCAAGAGCAAGTTAAGCACTGTAATAAAATTCCCCCTTTTTTAAACTAGCAATGAGTAGCTTTTTTTTTTCCCCCCCTCTGCAGAAAATCAGAACTAATTACATATAAGCACAAAGCAACGGTGTAAAAATGGACATTTATTACAACTAAACCAATGGGACAGTACGACAAAGGTCAAACAAGTTTATTTGTCACAATCACAACAAAGCTTAACCCAGCCAAGCACATACAAGTGACAGTGTAAACTTCAAAAATGTTTAATACATAGGAAATCGCTTCAGGTTTGACTTAAGGTAATTTCACAACTTCAGTCTCACACCAAGGGTCATTCTAGCACCACTTGTGCTAGACCACCACTCTAGCACCTGCCCTTGTGCACCAGAAAAATGCTAACGACTGCTTTTGTGTGCCCTCCCTTAAACACGGTCTCGAGTAATCTGGTATATTTAAATCCCAGAAATGGCTTAAACGGACAAGTTTGCATGCTGCAGGTTCTTAGGCTCCACTCAGGCACAGCTACTGAAGCTGCAGCCCCAGACCCGGCCCCCCTCTGCACTGGTCAGCCCCTTTGCTGCCACCAGCACTGCTACCTGGATCTGGATCAGGGAATGAGTGTCAGTGCCAGCCTTTTGCTGGTGGGTTACATTTAGTCTAGATCAGATTGAGCCACAGCTGGCTGTGAAACTGCTTGTGCTAGCACCACACAACTGCTTCCAACACCAGTGCCAAAGCTAAGTTTTGTGAAAACGTACATGGCGCTACTTATCTGAATTCTAAACAAAGTTCCTGGGATGGGAGGAGAAAGAAAGAAAGCTGAACATTCTCAGGGACCACGCGCGCACAGTAGCACTGCTACTCCAAAGTGTGCCACTGCCTTCCCAGAACTCAAAAGCACACATCAAATGAACTTCTTCAAGTGAAACAGTTCTAGCGTACAACTTCTGAGAGTCTGCACAAAATGCTGAACTGTTACTTCATTTCACTTCACCCAATTTGCAGTGAACGTAGTGTACAAAATTCTCACTGCAAATTAGTTGGTTCTACTGCACAGTATTTACGGGATGTGCCACATGGGAAAGGAGTAAGTCGAGAAAAGTAGTCAAAATTAAGCTGATGCTTTTTCTTAAAGGTGCTCAGACACCCATTAAAGCGTAACTACAAAACACGAATAAATACAAATTAATTTGTAGAATTCAAAAGAAAATCATAAAAACTCCCTTTTGTAAAGCTCCCACGTTCAAAAGTATCCCATTTTCATTACGTACCTCTCTATACAGTCAAAAAGGCTACTTCCCTTTTTTTTGTGTGCCTATGTTCAGAGCAAGCCAGTACTGGTTTAAAAATAGTTTCCCCATTTTGATATTTTTTCTTTTTTCTTTTTTTTAAACTACATGCATTCCCTTTTTAATATAGTAACTTGCACAGTTTTCATCAAGATAATTACATGTAAATACACTTTCACTGCTAGTAAATGATCAGTTTGCAGATGTCTTGCAAAAAGCAATGCCACCTTAACAGTTTTAACCAGTTGGATATGCAGATCCTAACAGGATTCTTTGGTATAATGGCAAATTCAGAAGTAAACAGTTGTTTCCAATTTAACGCGTTAACTGAATAAAAGCAGAATTATGGCAACTATTTACTAAAAATGCAGATGAACAAAAAGTCTTTGGTTGCATAAACACAATTTCTACAACATTTCATACTTGAAGGTGTCCATGTATTCTTTTCATTTAGATATGTTATGTCAACGATACATTTATCTCCTGAAGTCATTTGCTTATAAAAACAGTACACTTATTGAAATTAAATGCTTTTTTTTTTTCTATAAATGCAGTGAGAAGAGACACTGAGTCAATTTAAATCAAATTCCCTTTCATTTATGATTTTTGGCCTTTAATTTCTCATTCCCTTTTCAAAGGAGTATTTCCCTTGTAGGCCTGAATGAAGCAGCTTAGCAAAACAGTAATACTGACAAACAGCATCTTACACCATTAGCTAAACATTACAATGAAGGCAGTGAACATTTACAGTATGAAACACTGAGATGTCATCAGCTGAAGTGAAGACTTATGTCAATCCAATTTCTTCAAGTACACTACGTGGGGTCTCTGCTTCCTATGGAGGGAAAATGTGAGACAGTGGTGAATGGATCCTGCACATCTACTGAACAGTACCATACATGAGAGTTAGTACGAAAGATGCTTAATTAAAAAAGAGAAGTTGAAAGACATGGAAGTATAAAAGCACTGTGGTTTGCAAACATGGCATTAGCTGCACTTTTCAAAGTGCTGCTAATTAGATTGTCATGGTTCACAGGAATAGCTGGCAGATTTTATTGCCCTGAAGCGTAATAAAAAGAAGCAATTGAGATGCACCAGCAGGGATCAAATCACAACCCAATAATAGAGATATGAACTGGGGGAAGGATGGCGAAGCATCTTGCAATGGAGTTTGTCAGTTATGTTTGTGGTAAATTGTTTCATGGGTCTCTGCTAGGGAAAAAATGAATAAACAGACGAATGAAATGACCGATGCTACTTAGATACAGTATCCCTCAAGCTCTTTATGAAGAGCAAAGACTTTTTGTGCTTCATTTATATAAAAGCTTCATTTATATAAAACCAAGTCATATAAAACCTTGGTACAGCTAGTGCCAATAAACTGAGCAGGACAGACGAATTGGCAAGACTGAAATTGAATTCTCCCACACCAGGCAGAATACAAAATTTTAGGTTAGTTCTAGTCTTAGAAAGCTTTGTTTATAGTCAGAGCAAGTTTCATACACAATTCCAAAGAGTTATCATCAGTTCTGCATTCATTAAACCTACAGCATCTTGGAAAAAAAGTACTTTGATATCTTAGATAGCACTTTTAAACAGTTACTAACAATATGATAGTATATAAAAAGGGATACTGTGTCTTTATGGAAACGTAAGTAGTTTTAACATCCAGAGTATGAATAAACTTACTTTAGCATCCTAAAACAAGACATGTCATGAAGCAGGAAGAAGGCAGATAGCAGTTAAAGCAGCAAACAAATTATATTTCAATTCTTTCCTAAATATTTTTAACAATAATTTGTCAGTAAAATACATAATTAAAAGCCTTAGATCTTGTAAACATCAGAACTTAGTCTCTACCAATTTTGACTATGTAGCACAATATGATCACATACACATTAATTGAATTTAATGAGAGTTGTGTAAGACTATTGAACATTGAAGGAAAAGCGATACTATGTTAAAGCAAATTCACTTGCAAATAAGTCAGCGCTTGGAAAAGGCTGCTGCTGAGCACTTGGAGGTGGCTTCCAAATAAACTCTAAGAAAAAAAAAAAAAAGCAACTTAAATCTGGTCACAAAGTATTCAGGATATTAAGGATGTAGGGTTTTCTCACTGATGCAATATTTAAATATGCTTAGAACACAGTGACCTTGATGAAGACAGACAGTATGGCAGGCTTTAAGATTTACTTGTGCATTTTAAAAGAAATCTCCCTGAAGGAGACACTGCTTGAAAGGAAGGCTCTCTTTTTTTGCATTCATTTTAAAGGATATGCTTCTCCCCCTTTCCAATAACTTCAAGAATTTTGCTAAAAAAAAAAAAAAAAAAACCACCAAAAAAACCACAACCAACTCTACACTTTTAACCAATTATAGCAAGAGAATATAAAAGGGAAAAAAAACCACAAAATTTAATTTCAAGGATTTCAGGTCTCGAAAGCATTCGCAATAAAGCATTATTTCCAAGTTTTAAACTGATTAAACAAGAGTGAAAGCTGACCACTAGCCAGTGGTGATGCAGTGCATTTATTAAATTACACCAAAAAAGTTGCCCAATAACTCTGAAGAAATACCGTACACCACTGCTACAGTCTTTAAAGCAGTTCAGCACTGTCATCCCCTGTTGCCTGGTGGAAGTTGCAGGTAATTTTCACCAGGCATATACTTAAATCAAGATTAAGTATCTTCAAATAAATCAAGATCCTCAGTTGACAATGAATGTAAAGCAATGTATTTCAAGGACATTGGCTACTTGCCCACACGTACTCCTCACTGGTAAAACTCAGTAAGACGTTACTGTTTTAGTACTACAGCCTTAGCCTTGAGGCAGACATGCCCTTACGTGCACACTGACAATATTATCTCAATGTAACATCTAAAAGCTAGTGTGTTTAACCAGGATAATTTCATTAATTATGACTTTTAAGAAACAAATGAAATAGATTGTATTATTTTTTGTCTGTGTTACTTGTCTTAGGAAGTGTCAAACACTTTATGCAATTGTTACAGAATACATTCTGCAGTATTATACCCTACCTGCAGTTCAGAACCACCCAAGGCAAACGATGCAAATATGAAATATATCACAACACAGATGAGGAAAAAAGCCATTCACATGAGACAAAAGTGCATGCAATACTTTTATTTCAAACATGCCAGGAAAGCTAATTCATTACCTAGTCATTTAGAAGCAAGCAGCTGTATACAGGTAACAAGAAAAACAGCATCTCATTACAGCTCAATGCATAGCATTTGAAGCCAACAGGCATGAAATAATGCAGGCTAAAGCAGCATTAACCAGACATTTAGACACATTGTTAATGTCTTAGGAAAAAAAAAAGGCAAACTTGGAAATGGAAAACCACTCCTATGATCTTGTCTTCCACAACTTCAGAATGCTGCATGTCTAACCCAAGCTTTTGTCCATCCCCTAAATAACTCATCTTTATGTCAGTTTAACATTTGAAATGTAGTGCATTACCACATATAGGAGGCAGAGCTAGCTACTTACAGTCAACCTCAGTAGCCAACTCTTTGCTAATTACCTTTCAGGAATTTTCAGAAATAGTACTAGTTTTAGGTCACCAAATATTCTCTTCCGCTAGCCAAACAGAGGGTGCAATATATGCTCTCCCTATTCTGATCACTCTTTTTAACTGTAAGTTCATCGTATTTACGCATGCGGCAGTTTGCTAACACATACTGTACTCCACATTTAAAACTGCAAATATCAACTGAAGGAGACATATTTCAAGTACTAAAAATCCTTCCCATCCCAACCACCTGTAAGGTCTCCCTCAGTAACAGGAACTGCTTATTGACATCATTGTTTTGAACACTAAAATACAAATGTAATTTCCACATTTACACAAGACATTTTTATTGTCCTAACAATTCCATCTTCCCTCTCTTGGAGCTAAGGCACACTATTGTACCAGCTTCAGAAAAAGATACTGCTATAAGCACCTTACTCAAGATGCAAGGTCTATGTAGAATTATGTGCAATGTTTAATACTTGTGTATACATACGTATCAGTTCCACATACAACTACTCCTTCACTAATTTTTCTGCAAATATCTTCCAGTTTTAATGGTACATTTAAATACCACCAAAACTCACTTAAAAGGATATTACATGATTCTATGAACACAGGTCAAGTAGTGTTACAGTACAGGTGTTGCAGTATATAGATGTTTAGTTCATACAATTCTACAGAACTTTTAAGCATAAGAATTCAAGCTTACACACAATAAAAAAAGTTAAACCATATGCTGACAAGCACACGTTTTGTTGAAATGAGACATGTGAAGAGACAACACTGTAAAACAGAAGGGGAAAAGGAAAGTACAACAGCAGAGAATGGTTGTGGTATTCTATTAGATGTAAGATGACTGGATTCACCAAGCTGATGATAATGTTCTGTCATGAGTAAGGCACAGGTCTATCTCCTCTGAAATTCTGCATGCATGATGAATGAAGCCATTTAGTACACTGGGACATTAAAGTATTCATGACGTGGCTACAAAAGAAATGCACATATTCTTACACATAACAGAAAGGTAGACAAATATGCAAGGAAAAAAAGATTCTCTCCTGTATTCCTGACATGAAAGGACATTTTATACAAAAATAAAATACTGTATTTTTGACAAGCCTAAGTGGGAAAATAATGGCTTTATCCCCCCTCCCCCATAATTGCATGATGGCAGCATCAACATACAGAACTTCACATTGTAATTACTGTATTACAAAAGTCTAATGATTCTTCTCAACCAAAAATTGTTTAAAGCTGAGTTCCAGAGATGGCTTACCCTATGCATCTGCTACATTCTAGCCCCTTCGGCAGATACCAACTGTTGGCTGCTAGCAGAGGCAGGAGCTCTTGATATCACCTACCATATTCACTCTCACAGACACAGAACTGCTAACAGGCCTCCAGAATGCAATTGTGAGGAGCACTGCACAATGCAGCAAGGTGGACTACTTGATATAAAAGCTACTGTTCATTTCAAGATTGCCTGTTTAAAAAACGGGAGCAATCTGAGACGCCCATCACAACAGGCAAAGTTCTTCCCTTTTTAATTATACCACTGAACTTAATACCCCAACTCTCATTTTATCAGCATGAAACTTAGTACACAATTTGTTGAAAGATGAGTTACCAATCACACAATACTCAACATTTTTCATACATAAATCAGTGCTCTGAAGACAGCTTTTATGCGATCAGCAGCTATTGAGAAGAATATATTCTGGGTATGCAATTAAGCATCTTCTGTGAGGAAAAACCTCTCTGAGTATGAGCTACCATCTTTCAGTCTGTATCAATTAAAAGCTTCAAACTAATTTAGCACCACACCCTGAAAATAAAAGGAGTCTCAGAAGAAAAAAAAAAAAAAAAAAAGAGAAAGTTCCCATGACTTCTCAAGCTATTTCTTCTGTCTCGTGCATTTCAAAGTAGTACTATCATCTCAGTTGATCCACAAAACATACGAGCTCAAATGTCTTGAAGTTATCTCCAATTAGAAATCTCCCCCCCAAAATATAGTAGAAGGTTCACAGCATTTATACTGCTTTTCCTGTAGCAGTAATCTGAACATTATTTCACATTAGCTATTTAAAATCATTATAAAAAAGCCATCTACAAATCCAGCAGTTCTCAAATGACAGCTGCAAACAAATTACATGAAGTCTCCTGTGATGTGAGGTAGAACTCTGTGTACAGCAGTGAATTACAAATGGAATTTCCACTCTCAAAATCTCTTACTAAAGAGAAGTGACAGTTTACAGTAAAAATCAAAATGCAGGAGAATTTAGGCATGTTTTTAACTGAAAAAGAAAACTTCAAACTGACAGTACACAGTACTAGCCCCAGTGTGTAGGAGCTCTGAGCCACTGGACTAACATCAGAACTGATGAAGTCTCCACAGATAAAACATTCCTAAAGGTTATTTTGGAGAACTTCTGCTTTCCTCACGCTGTTAGCGTGACACGGCTTCATGAAGACAAATGAAATCCAGGCATACTGTAGCAATCTAAAACTCCAAACTGTGACAGTTTTGTGTTTTCAGATTTTACCTGCAATCAGTTCTACAATGACAACAACAAAGACGTGGCAGTGTTCCTTTCCTTTTTGTTTATTCACCTGGTTACTTTTCAGTTTCAGTACTTTTCAAACTACTGCACAAGTTTATCTTGACTATTCCATCCCCCTTCATGCACCCCCCCAGGTGTTCTCCTATTTTCAATTGTTTATAGCTTAAAGAATGAAACCTCTTTGATGTGAAAACCCCAGTACACAAAATAGATGACTGACTCAAATTACTCTTGGAGGATTAGTGTCCCATCTTGATAGAAATTTCTTGTCTACTGATAAGGCAAGATAGATTGTTAGATAACAACAGGAAGAAAATGGCCATTTCAATCCTGCCAGCTTTTTAGCCTATGGAACACGTGAACACCACCTGCAACCAGTCTAGCAATAAACTGACATTGTAGAGGTAAATCTAAAAGATGAAATGGAAGACAACTGTAACTGAGAAACGAAATGATAACAGCAAAACTGTGAAACAGAAAACACTGCAGTTTTAGTGAGGCCTCTGTATCCCACTGAGGACATCCTAGGACATTACTACAGAGGCAGGCTGGTGCTGTGGCAGCCTGATAAACACAAAAAGGAAAAATAAAATTGACCAACTATTTCTAGTCAGAGAAAAGCTTGACACAGCCAGCACTGTGCACTTGCCCAGAAAGCCAACTGCATCCTGGGCTGCATCAAAAGACAGGGGATTGTTACTGTCTACTCTGCCCTCATGAGGCCCCATCATGAGTACTGCATCCAGCATCAGGGCTCCCCAGCACAGCAAGGATGTGGAGCTGTTGGAGCAGGTCCAGAGGAGGACACAAAGACAAAGGGCTGGAGTAGGAAAGGCTGTGGAAGCCAGGGTTGCTCAGCCCTGGAGAAAGGAAGGCTCTGGGGAGACCTCACTGCATCCTTCCAGTATCTGCAGGGGACATACAGGAAATCTGGAGAGGGACTCCATCAGGGAATGTAGTAATAGGACGAAGGGTGATGGCTTTAAACAAAAAGATGGGAGATTAAGATTAGATACTAGGAGGAAATTCCCACATGCTGCACAGCTAATGATCTATTAAATTTATTACAGCATTCCCTGCCACACAGCCTCCAAAGAAGCGACTGTCTGAATACTGGAAAACCCACTTGTGGGGAGCAAAGGACAAGTGTCAACTTCTGTAACCAGCATCTAGGTTACATTGCCTTCCTTGTATGGGACTGCACAGACCTGAGGCTAAACCTGAACCTCTGAAGAATGTCCTTAGACTCAGGTAGCAATCTGTTCTAATGACTTTCTAAGTCTACCTAGTAGCTGCAGAAGAGGTCCTTACAACTCAATACAATGTCAAACTACCACAAAATACTACCTCTAAGACATTCATCACTTCTTTGAAAAATTTGAATGCACACTGCATATGTGATTTAAACACAGTTTTGAGATTTTAATTACTACCCTTTTCAAAAAGGTATTTGCATTTGCAAGCTGCTTTAAAAGTTAGTCAGAACTCTGAAATTTTCAGCCCAAGTTCTCAGAGACTTTTAAATTAGAAAAATTGTAGCATTTGAGTCACAGAACTATCTAGCTAGCCCAACTCTACTGACATTCTTCTCAACCAATTTTGTCAGGACTAAGTGTAATTAAAAATATTAGTCATAATAAAATTAGAAGGGACTTCACTTAATCCACCCTCCAAACAGCATACCTGTAACGTTATGTAGAGGTATTTAATCTGTTAAAGGCATTCAACAATGGAAACTTTTTAATGTCCTCCAGGCACTCTACTCCAATGTTTCATTATTATCATCACTGAAATTTTTCTAATTTCTATTCAAATTTATTTTCCAGCCACAATTTAAGTTATTTTATGTCTGTAGTGGACAAGAAAACACTTTTTCCTTTAAGCAATAAAGAAAGAAGAAACAATTTATGCTTAAAACCAAGCTTCCTCAAGCTCAGTGCTTTGCACTGCTGACAGTTTACTGTGTGAACACGCAGTGAAAGAGACTTCATGAATACTTGGCATGCTTCCTTTGTCAGGTAAAGTTTGCGTAAGTTTTACTTTCAGCTTTTTCCAATCAAAAACAGCACAAATCCAGTAAGGTAAGCCATGCTAACACACAGGCAAAACAATATAGCATTCATCTTTTGATAAAGACTTGGTGATTTGTTGTTTTGGTGGTGTTTCCCCCCCCCCCATTTCATAGCATCTAAAATAAGAACAACAGACAAAACTGTGTCATGGAATGCATTGCAGTTTGGGAATTATTCTGTTGTTTAAAAATACAAAGCTCTTACAGTAGGAAAAGATTAGTACTACCAAGCACTTGTTTACCAATTTCTTTTACACTCTATCTGTGAGTCTTTATTAAGAAATATTTCTAATGAGAAGTTGCTTTAGAAAATTGCTATTGTTCACTTGAAGTTTCAAGGATTTCAAAATAGTAGAGCATCTGTATCCCAACCTTTGCTTAGTTAAGTATTCAGAAGCTGCAGTCACATAGTTCTCGGGAAAGGTCTGCTTCCTTTGTGAGTAATGTGTTTCCACAGAGAGCTTAGAAAAACCCATGAAATCTTGCAAGTGTTCAACTATTAGCTATGATACTGTTCAAAAACGAAGTACAGTCCTACACCAGTGCCAACTCCAAGTCAAAATCTTGCCTGCAATTTCCCATACACAGAGGACCTAAACAAAAAACACGACTGACACAAATTAGTCATTACAACACTGTTTGAAGCAGCTATAATCCTGCAAGTCCTTCTCAGAAAAACGTTCTATCATATGCATACTATTTGCATCCAAAACATTACCTCAACAGACAGAGGATATAACAGCAGATCAGCAGTGACCTGTCTGCCTCCCTCTCAAAAGCAGGAGTAAAAATACCCACGGAAACTTCATGAACTGTAACTGGATAAGGCTGGCTGCCTCCCGCTCCTTACCTGCTATTTCTGATCTGCTGGATCAGAGGTGATAATCGCTCTGGGAGGCAGTGCATTATCTCTGCCAACCGGCTGCTACAAAGTGAGCTACAAAGAATTAACAGTTTAATCTTTAAGGAAGGACTATTCTCAACATCCACTGGAGGCTCCGTTACCCCAACACAGGAACACAGATGTTTTAAGCAAACACTGTTGCTGAATACTCTGTATTGAAGCTAAAGCTCTAACAAGTCACTGAGTTTTCCTCTACCAGTGTATGCGTATGTTTGGCAGGTTGCCACACTTCACACACCAGGATTCACTAGTGTTTTCTTCCATTTTCTTCCAGTCCTGCACTGCAGCTAGAGGCTTACATTACTTATTCCCCTTTGCTTAAGGAAAGCATTTCTTAAACTGCTGGGCTGAATTTATGAAGGGATGACCAGAATACATTATCATAAGATACATGTCACATCCCATATCACCCAGATTCCTTGCTAACAGCACTTAAGCAGTTCCGCTCCTTATTGTTCCTGCAACACTTTCTTCTCTTACAATTCTTCGAACAAACATTTGCAGGGCTAATTTGTTAACAAGGAAAACAAAAGCTGCTGTGTTTTTATAAATGAACAATTTCAGTAGAATCAGCTTGATCTGAAATCCAGTTACAGTATGGCCATGAAAACAGTTTATTGGGCGTATAATAAATAGGAGGAGAAAGAACAACTGAAAACTCCAAGTCCACTGCTGCTGAAGCTCCTTAATGCACTCCTGTGACTCCAGCCAATAACAGGGCTGCAGTAAAAGTAAATTAGAACTTAACTACACTGATTTCAGGGTGCACAGCAGACAGCAGTCAAGACAAAACATCTGGGGAACACCGGCCTTTTACAACACAGATACACAGACCATTGTTACAAAATGGTAAAATTCAGCCAAACTCTGTATAGAATAGACTATTTCTGAATGTCTTATCACACTTGCAATAACTTAGCATGGGCAGAATTCAGAACCCTAGGAAATCTTTCTGAAATAACCCTCAAAAACCGGAGTTCTACTCTTTTAGTGCATGTTTATGCTGGACAGAGTAATACAGATTAAGTAAACTGAACCTGTATAACCTCTTAATTAAGTATCAGGATAATCCGTGCACAGAAGCTTTATGAACCAAAGGCTCCTCTTGCCCACAGCCAACCTTCTTTATCTCAGGGTATTTTTCCTTGCTGCTGAACACTCTCAACTGAATACACAAGCAGCAGTAACTTCCAGCACGCAAACTATTCCTCTCATTATATGCATTCATCTACCAGCTCACTTCTCCACTCAACACAGCAGACACCATTCCCATTTGCCCAACTGTAGAGTCATTACAGGTAGAAATCGTGCTCAGTACACAGTGATTACTGCTTTGCTTCTTTCAGGAAAAAGTATAGGCCAAGAAGAAGCATTCCACAAGAAACTGCTAAGAACACTGTTTAAATCAGTAGGGACAAAGCACACCTGAACAACTAAAACCATGCCCGTATACAGAATCCATCCAGGACATATTCTGTAGATAAAACTCAAGTCTCCCAGCATTCTATAAGCTTGAGCTTGCATGTTCCAGAATTAGTCTCTGTGGCAGTCTAAGTCAACAAAATAAAATAGCACTCTTAAATAAAAGCTCTATGCTTAGCATAGGTCTAAACCAACTTACCAATAGCTCTTTGAAGTCCCAGTCACAATTTTTTACATTTGCACAATCAATACTAACCTCACCATGAAAATCACCCCTTATGTATAAACTTGTTACCATGAAGGAGAGGGAAAACAATAATTGCACAGAGAAAGATGTGGGAAGAAATCTATTTTTATCATTTAGACTTTCTGCTAGTTCTAGATTATATCCAGATACATGTAAGTAATTCTGTTTTGAACTCTTGCCGGCTGCCCTAATTCTACAAGTCTAATATGCTATCATATTAGTTACTCCCCATTCCCCAGCATTGATCAACTACAGTATATACTAAGTAACTTTTAAATGACAAAGCTATCCATACCACAGTGAATTTGATTTTGAACATGTTACAAAAATATTTGTCAATCACAGTAATTTTCTCTCATCTGTTAACTAAATCCTGGTATCTATAAAGCTGCACATGAAATTGTATCTATTCCTAGTTCCACATTACAAAAACCAATTTGTTTACTGAACTACTTGTACATCACAGTATCAAAGAAGCAGCAAACTAATTAAGTTTTCCTCCAGCAAATCATTTTCATGTGTTTGAAACTTGCCTTATTTAAGATAAAATCTTACCTTTATTAGTAGGACTGCCACAACGTATTCCACTTTTGCTTTGGACAAAAATATGTTGCAATGCACTATATATGCAAATAAGCTTTGTTTTGTCATGCAGCATCCGGCACTTGATATATAGTCAACTGCAGCAGCACCCAGTCTTTTTAGGGCCTACTTTCTTTGCACAGCAGATGTAAACAGCTCATTTTCCAGTAAAGACACTTTTGCATGGGTTGATTGTAAGTAAATAAAGCCAAACTCAGTTTAGTTATTAGTTTTGGTATCCATTTCACTAACTTGCATTATCCCATTAATTATCAACACCAAAAGAAAGCTAGTAGAAGTCAGACGCTTCGAGTTGATGCAGTTAGTACAAAAAAGGAAAATAAACAGGGAACACTCAAAGCACTCTTCAAAGACCATCATGCAAGTGTTGCAGAAGGTTAAGCCCATCACCCATTTTTGTTTACCCTTACAAGGATTTAATTACACGTGCAACAGTCTTTGCATAGCACCCATTTAATCCATGCCACCAAAATGGTAAACTTTGTAGTTACCAATCGTCTAGATGGGGGTCAAAAGGGCTAATGTCTTAGATTGCTCTTAATCATAAGATATCCTCAGACAAACCTCCCCAGTCTTCATTCTGGCTCTACAAACACAAAATCAAGCAAGAAAATGTAATACCATCTACTTTAAAAACAAAAACAATTTACAGCTTATTTCCATTTAAAATAAAAGAAAAAATACTCTGCACTATATACAAAAATAAATTGTTAGTTAACTTAGATTTACTTCAGCTATAGTTACTCATTAATACAATTTTATTAGGTCCTACTAACAGTTCACTGTTAAGCAAACAAAGGCATCAATAAAGAATATATGCTCAAAGATTCCAAGACGATGCATTGAAAACGTGCATTAGTTTGTATTTTATTTCTTAACAAGCTAAACAATATAAATACCTTAGAGAACTCTATAGTTATTTAGGAAGGTTGACCTGTGCTTGATGAGAACTTAAAATCAGTTAATTAGCGCAACCTTAACAGATTTTAGAACATAATAGCACAGGATGATATCAAATTAACATATAATTAATCTAGTGACTGTTTCACACAGTGTTACTAACATTGGTATCCAAGTAAGATATGCTCCATAGAAGGAGATAAAAGTTGCATTCTATTTATCTACCACACTTTAATGCACACAACTTAATTCAAGAGCCACGTAATGGCATTTCCTCCTCTAACAGCTGCCATATCATTACTTGCCAAGTTGTTATGTGATAACCCTGTCATTTTCATGTAGTAATGAGTGGTGCAAGAATTTGAACGCTTTCACATGAATCCATTCATTAATCAAACGTACTTAGTCTGAAAAGACCTACAGTCAACAAGTTTATTTTGAGAATTGTTCTTTCCGCCATTTCAAATTAAATTTTCAATATAAGATTACAACATGTATGCATCCAACGTATCTTGACAGCCAGCACCGCTACTCTTTGCAGAGAGCTCCCATACACACTAGCAACACACCTAACACTCGAAATGCACACAGACAGACACACAAAAATAAGAACTTAAACTGAACTCCATGGGATCCCTCCTGGGGCCATCCATTCTTTTTTCATTTACTGTTCTGTGGAGTTCCAGAAACACCTCCACCGGTTGTGAGAGCTTTAGTGTACAATAGTAGCACTGCAACATGACTCATCATCTCAGATACCAGAAGAAAATGGAATTTCTTCCTTACTACCACAAGGTTCAAACAATTACCTTTGCTCTTTCCAGCACTGAGAGAATTAGAAAGCACGTGCTATTAAAATGGAGGTTTATGTGACCATTTAAAAAGGGGCACTGAATTCTGAAGATACTGTCTCCTTACTGTCAAACAAAACTCAAGAAATCCTGGTCAGTTGTTCTTTGAACTTCCTGCTTATTGACTGAATGCACACGACAGAGCTCCTGAAAACAAAGATGGCTTATTCAGCAGAGCTAAAATTTTCACATCACCATGATGCACTGCTTCTACAGAAAAGCCATAGAAAACTATTTCTGGAAAAATCTATCAGGAGAGTTCAGTGTACAGAGATAACAGTTCTATTAAGGATATGATTATTAAGTATCAGTTCAGTACACTGCTAACACACCCTTAACAGTTTTATAAGAATTGCTTATATCAACAAATAATCAACTCCATAGAAATCTGTATGCAGTAGATATTGTTTAATAGTATTAGAATTTGTATCAGAGAGTGTATTGAATATCTACCAGAAAAAGCAGGAACTCAACTTGTACTAATTCATCATACTAATAACTGTTCATAGCATTTCAATTTGCAAAACACACAATGCACACACAACACTTACATGGAAGATGCTTTCCTCACAGTATTGTAAACAACTTCTGATTTAAAAAAAAGATTACTCACATCTCACATGCACACACCCCAAATGAAGAAAAAAGGAAACAAAGGAAAAAAGCATTACGGAGATAGATTTGTTAAAATAAGATGCTAAAGGTCCACACAAAAAATGAAGTGCAGACTGACATCTATCATTTTCAAATCAAAGTGAAGGACGGATTATGATCTGGCCATGTTTCTGGAAGGACAACTGGATTTACAACATTTAGAAATCAAAGCCTGCAAACCTATGAAGCCCTAAGTTTCTTGATCCCCAAAAGTGAGAAAATTCCAAAAATATAACCACATTCATATTAAAAAAAAAAAAGCAAAGAAAAAAAGGCAAATCACACGCCCTCTTACAAAAAAACTGTTATTTAAAGTTATCAGAGGAAAAAAAAGCAGTCTAAGAATGGTAATGGGATGAAGTATCTATGTTGCTCTGAAAGTAAGGCATCCCTTTTATTTCCAAGGAAACTATAGCAGATAAAAGAGCACAGTGCCACTGTGTGATGGAGGATATCCTCAGCACTATTTTTCAATAGCCACTACATGAGCTATGGATTCTCACCAGCAATGAACAAGAAAGAGCCTGCATACAGAAAAACCTGCATCAGCAGAGGTGACCCACTGTTGCCACTGCTGAAACACACCACCCACCCATTACTGTGCTCATATCCACTGGCTGGTCTCCAGAAGTGTTCACCAAACATCAGCAAATCTGTGCACAAAAAAATGGCACCCACTGACAAGTTTAGTTTCACATCTTTACTTCATAAGCACTTCATGTCAGATCCCATTTGTATCAGACTGCCCTTCTGCTGCTATCTGTTATACAGCAATAAAACGTAATGGAATATTGGTGGGAAGGTTCAACCTCTACTGCCCTATCACCATCTGCCTCTGACATCATGGGCCAACATAATAAAATAGGTGGCATTACTTTCAGAGCAGCCCTTGTATGACAACTGCTTGGATATTCAATGCTACTTTTTTTTCAGTCTCAAATGTCTTCTTGAAAATGAGATCAGCTTCCCCACCTCTCACTCCTATTTGGGAAAAAAGCAGAGCAGAGCTGCATGTTCTACTACTCATTTTTTGGACAAACTCCTAAAGCTTTAAACAAAATGCTATCATTTGTTAAGTATCTGCAGGAAAGTCTAGTTTACAGCACCAAGAGGACAGCTGAAAACTATGTATTGTAAGTAAGGAAGCACCTCTGCTATCAAAAATTACAGAACTTTCTGCAACTATTAAAATAACAACTTAGAGTACTCAGAGGTTTGTTAGGATTTTGTTTCCTATGATTTCTTATTATGCATATTCTTAGAGCTCATTCCACCTGAACCCCAGCTTAATTTATATTAAATATATCAGAAACTACAAAGACATCTTCAAAAGCAGTTGTCAGTTTTCATAAGTGCTTGTCACCAACTTAAAATCAAGACAGTTGTAAACAGATTTTTATAGGAATTTGGGACTACAGTTTTTTACTTAAACAGACTGCTAGAGAGTGAAATAGTTAACAGAAAACAGACCAAGATGATAGAGCAAAAAATTTGGAAGTTAAACTGACATACTCATATTCATGGCTGGATAGTGATAGGACAAGGGGAAATGGTTTTAAACTGAGACAGGGGAGGTTTAGGTTAGATATGAGAAGGAAGTTTTTCACACAGAGGGTGGTGACGCACTGGAACAGGTCACCCAAGCAGGCTGTGGATGCCCCATCCCTGGAGGCATTCAAGGCCAGGCTGGATGTGCCTCTGGGCAGCCTGCTCTGGTGGTTGGCGACCCTGCACATAGCAGGGGGCTGGAACTGGATGATCTTTAAGGTCCTTTTCAACCCAGGCCATTCTGTGATTCTATGATATTCATGAATGCCAGACTGTAGCAATTCCACTTACTGAAGTTACAAAATAATTAAATATGTTCTTGCTTTGCATCCTGCGAATCCCAAATTTAAAAAGCAGGCTAATTTTCATGACCATGAGAATAATTTATAGCACCAACAAATTGATAAGCATGTTTTCCTAAGAGAAGGTACAAATGAGTTCTTCCCATACACTGAAGCATATTATGCATACAGTAATGTATATATGTTTGACTATAGTCATGTTCTATAGTAGTTACTTTTCTGAATGAAGTAAACATCTGTTCAATTCACATAGGAAAGTAAACAAAAAAGCAATTGACCATTTATATGGTTTTGAGTTATATACATAGTCACAAGCAAGCTATGCTGGTCTTTAACAACAAGCAAACAAACTTTTTATTCCCAGAAATGTGAAAAGAAGAATCTCAAGGCCAAAGAATAAAAAAAAAAAAGGCCTTTTTCCACATGCATGCATTTTTTCACCTACTGCTTTACAAGCATCTACATTTTAAACAGCGCATTTTAAACACGCAGTACCTCAAGAAGGTGGTAAATTCCCATATGAGAACACTTTTCTAACATACTTTCCTAAGACACTTGTCAACCTATTTTACACATCTCATGAACAAGCATGGTTTCTCACACCAATCACACAAAGCCAGGAAGTGTCTCATTATAGGTTCTTAAATACTGTCTCTAATCAGCACCACATACAAGGTCACTTCTTTTTTGATCAGTATATGAAGAGTCAAGAACTTTTATAGAAGCAGACAAGGCACACACTTCATATGTAAAAGTCAAATGATCAGGCAACCTAACAGCATGACTAACTGCCCTGCCATAAATCCAACACTCTTCTGGAACTGAAATCTGAACTTCGTTTTAGAAAAACTACCAGAATACTATCACAACTTCTTCCAAGAGAAGAAAGAGATTTCCAGTCAACATAGACTTCGAGTACATCCCATACCTTGTATCAACTAGAAGTATATCTTTTCTCAATCACAGTACCTGCCATACAGTTCCCTACTTTAAAAATTAAATTAGAGACCATTATTTATTAATAAAAATAAAGCATGTGTTCTAAGAACTGCAGTCTTAAGCTGACCAAGCTGTCCACTTGAAATTGACTCAGAAGTTACTTAGAACTGAGACAATTAAGGCAGTCAGATCTCCACTGCAATAATGGTTTCGTTACCCACTTGTTTCATGCTGAGAGGCACACAGGTATGGCCAAAGCACAAAACATCACTGCCAACATAGGAAGGAAGTCTCTTCAAAAGTTCATATTAAAGTGCTAATATCAAGACTACATTAATAACACTGATTATGGTAAGATGCTCAGAAGAATCATAAGAAACAGGTGCTTTGATTCCAAAACCAGCCCAAAAAAGCCTTGCACTCCCAACCTGCTGTGGGCTTGTCAGTGCTAATGCTAACATATTTTCACATTTCAAGAACAACCTAATACACTTTGCACTACCTTCAAGCCTACAGTTTCCAACTAGCACATTTCATCCCCAACTTTTTTGTGACCAAATTTTCAATGTCAAAGATGCTCATTCTAATACTAAATCTACGTAGCAAGTCTAAGCTTGCTTCTACAGTTCAGCCACTATTAACAGACTAAGCACCATTCTGTATAGAAGATGAGGTAAGGGCTTAAAACAGTGAAGTGACACTGATTCATAGTGTAACTATTATTCTTCATGTGGAACAATTCCTCGTGGCAGGACAAGGGGAAATGGTTTTAAGTTGAGGGAGGGAAGATTCAGGTTCTATGTCAGGGGAAAGTTCTTTACAGAGAGAGTGGTGAGGTGCTGGAACAGGCTGCCCAGAGAGGTTGTGGATGCCCCGTCCCTGGAGGTGTTCAAGGCCAGGTTGGATGGGGCCCTGGGCAGCCTGGTCTAGAATTAAATGGGGAGGTTGGTAGTCCTGCCTGTGGTGGGGGGTTGGAGCTTCATGATCCTTGAGGTCCCTTCCAACCCTGGCCATTCTGTGACTCTGTGATTAGTGGACACTGTCAGAAGACAAACTACAAGAGCCTAGCAAGAACATTCACACAGCTTCTACACTTTCAACTGTTAGTAAAGCAGTGATGAAGAAGTGATTTGTGAATAGATGCACTGACTTTTTCATTGAAATCTTCAAAAATAAACCTTTTTTTTTCCTTTTATTATATGTTCTGCAATCGACTACTGAAAACACACCAAAAAAAAGTAATAGTGAAAAAAAAAAAAAAAAAAAAAAGAATTCTGAAATAATTTTATCAAAAACTACATGGGAAATGTACCAAAAGGAATTTTCACTAATATTTAGGAACTTGCACCTACTTCAAATGAAGATCAGCAATTTTGTGCAAGTTCAATTGCTTGGTTTATATATCAGAATATTACTGAACATTACCATTTTAGCACAATTCTAAGCACTATTTCAGTTTTACCTGATGGTCCAAGTAAACACAGCAAATGAAGTGGAAAAAGAACCGATCCTTTCCATAAAAGCAGCGTGTCAAGTTCCACGCATTAAAAATGTTAAACGTTATGAAATCAAGCATGTTTCAGCTCTTCCAAAGACCACATGTATACATCTCACACACAGCTACATTCCGCATGCAAATATTCTTCTCCTGGCATAATTGAGTTGACTACATGAAATACCACCTTTTCAGAACCACTTGTCTCTGTAAACCCCAGTTAAGCATGTAGAATTTTTACAGCAAAAGAACAATTATCAAACAAGACACACAACAGCAGAGTTTTCTAAAGATGCACTCCTAGCAACAGATTTCCAATGAAGCACACAAGCACTGGATTCCTTTTCACTATCATTCACAGGGTAACGTTGTCAGTATTAATGACCAACTATTGGTAAGTTATGTCAGGTGCTAATAAATAGGAGGTAGGGAACAAATACCTGAACTGATCGCAATACTAAGAGCTAACAAGAAACTGAAGGTGGAAAAAGGCTTAAAAACTTAGCATGTTTCAGGCATGTGAAGCCTAGCATTAAGAGGATTGCACAGCACCAAGAAACTTAATTGGACACTGAAGTAGGTGCTCAGAAACAGAAGCACACCCTGGAGAAACGCCACAAGAATACAAGTAGGCAAGACTATTAAGAACTGATGCACTATTCAGCAATTTATGCCTCTGCATTTTCTTTTAACATTACTCAAACAGCCACTTAATGTATTTGTAATGATTTTCCTTTGTGTAAGTATTCTGTACAGCTTTTGATGTCTAAGGTGCTTCATGCATTAATGTATGCATCATTACTAATTAATAATGCTGCATATTCAATAATAGTTTTTAAATTAGGCAATATATGACTTCTCAGGTCCAAATAAAAGTCCTTTTGTTGCACATAATTACAATGTGAGATGGTCAAAAACAAACACACCATAACCCTGCAAGAAAAGGTTTGCATTTGGAATCAAAACACATTTCATTCCAGTAGCTTTGGGGTATTCTAGGAAGCAAAATTAAATAGAAATAGAAGAAGTCTCCAGTTGTGGCAAACTATTATTTTAACAACCTCTTCTTTAGCCTCAGCATGCACATAGTAGCAGTTAATACAAAAAAAAAAGTCATCCACAAAATAAGTCTAACCTTATTGGAAGCTCATTTTAAATACATACTCAGGCCTTCACAGTTCTTATAAACTAAAAAGCACATATAAGGAGTAGTTTTATACTTGACTGACAGTCAGTATAACTCTACTAAGAAGCTTATAAAAAAAACAGAGCAATACAGTGGATCTATGGTCATCTGCTGAATTCCAATTTATTCAGAAAATAGTTAATAAAACTTGATAGAACATCTAAGAGATGGGAAAAAGAAGAGTAAAGAATCTCAGAAGTAAAGAGCATCAAGGTAATCCCATCACAGCCAGGGAAAAGTCTCCAGTTGAAAAAGCAATACTCCCATTTGAGTGCACATTTTTAACTTGAAGTTATGTTATGTAAGTCTAAAAAGAAAATGCGAATTGCTTGGACAAGCTCAGTAATTAATTTCTAGATTTTGCTTTAGAAGAGTCCTAAGAAAACGCTGGAAATACCCTGATGGGCTCTGAAGTTTAAGAAAATGCAATACCTTCAGTTTATATGTAATTAGCTCTGCATTTGCAGGAGACAGATATAACAGGTTAGTTACCTATTCCAATATGATCTTATACTGAGAACAGCACAAGATTTTAAGGTAAAATTGACAGATTTATCCCCCTTTGTAAACTGAAACAAGACTTCCAGTTAAGATAATTCTTTTTAAGTGTTAGAAAAGGACAGACTGAAACTTCTTTAGAATACAAGCTGTATGTCTGCTCAAATAGTTCCTTCTTAAAAAAAGATGCTAACAAATCTGTGTGATGCTGGCTCTATTCATAACAGTAACTAGCTGCTGACAGCTGGGAACTTCGATACGTTCTGGATTTGCCTGTACTCTGAAAAGGATTACAGATACAACTACAATGATAAAGAACTTTGTGATTCCCCACTCTAATAATTCAACATTCAGCAAGTAGAAAACAGAACATTCACATGAGAATTAAACAACAAACTGGGCAAGTGAACAAATGGAAGGTTCATGTTAACTGTAATAATATTTCAGCTAACATTTGTATAGTACCTTGTAAGAGAAACTTAGTATGTTTAAAATACGATTCATTACCTCTGCTAAACCATGTTTCACTGACTCTCATATAAAGAGACTGATAATTTCTTCAGCCTACTAGAATTTAATGAATTTCATTTAGACATTCAGGCATTAATGCTGACCTCAAAGCTACAGCAATTAACTACAAAGAAAAGTACAGAATGGAGAAACAAGAGGGATATGTTATTAAGTGTTGTGTCATTGAACTCCTCCCCATTAAATATTTTTGAAAGAAAAAAAAATAAAAAAATGCAATCTGTATTTCTTCAAAGTTAGTAACAGACAAAAGCATTCAAGGGGAAAACTCAGATGTTTTTATACTTCATTCCGTGTGTTTTAAGCAATACTACTACTGTTTTGTCAACTTTAAAGTTAGAAATGTGCCACAGTAAGCAACCTACAGCAGAAAAGAAGGTCTTTAGAATCTAAAGAACTATACCTGTATGAGTCTCAAAGAAGAGAGTCTAGCTTCTGGATTTCAGCAATGAAACAGTAAAGAAGTGAACATGCATCAGGTATGACAAAAAAAACTAACCGCTGATTAATCAAAAAAAATAAACAAAAGACGTGAACAAAACTAAATTAAAGCTGCACAATCTATAATTACCCAGATATACACATACAAACAGCCACTTACGTTTCTAGCAGAACACAAAAACCACAGTAGGTTACAATACATTCATGCCGAACAAGATGGAAAGAGCAGATAATGCAGCAGTGTTGCACAATTAGAACAACTAAGCAGTAGCTACATGCTAAGCGTGCCAGAAGATACCTTCCACAAGCTCAAAGAAATGGTAGCTTTTTCTAACCACAATCCAGCATGCTGATACTTTGCCCAGATAAGTTTAAATTGCTTACCTCCTGTAGAAGATCTGCCTGTTCAATGGCTTTGAGAACATTTTTTTTGGAAGTCTCCTGGACCTCCCCTCCCAAGAGAAACTCATCCAGAATAAAATAGGCTTTTTCAAAATTGAAGATGATATCAAGTTCACATACCTGAAAAGATCAAGTATTACTGCAAAGTGGGAGAATACTCTGAGGATACCCTCAGAAAACTTAACTTATATTTTCAACAAGCTTCACCAAATCAAGATATTGGCCTCAGGCTATAACATTTTAAGTAGGACAACAACAACAACAAAATTAACAACAAAACTGAAACCAAGATTTTTTTGTTTTGTTTTGTTTTTTTTTTTTTTTCCTCAAGTTGAACAACTACAGCAGCCTCTTTTGAAAGGTTTTTCACTGTTTAACAAAGAGTGCTCAATTCACAGCTATCAGTCCGACACGGATCTTCATGAAGCAACAGAAGATCACTACAGTTCTCTATTTCCCTGAAGTATCCAGGGACAGATGATGCAATCTTATAGAATTTTTTTTTTAACAATCAATTTCTTATTCATTCTGCGTGCATCCTAGTCAAAAGGAGTCGGAAAGCAAAAGGATGAGCAGTTTTCCCAGAAGTGCAAATGCACACTGCTTCTGTTCTGTTTGGTTTTGGTATCTGCGAAAGCAGATGTCTTCTTTTCTTCCCCTTCTTGCTAGTTCACAACCAACTGCCTCATTTGAAAGAAGACATAAGAAGTGCTGGGGGGAGGGCAGAATGTACATACACATGTACAGAACACTGCCAGAGAGAAAAGAAAGTGGAAGCCTGGACAAAAAGCTAAGGATAATATTTTATCTAACCTCTAGCAAGACCACTAAGAAATGAAATAAATACAGGTAATTAACATCAGATTAAGAACTGTTCTCCAAATTCTTAGTTTACTTTTATACTCTAGGCATTATACAGGCAACTGTCAGTTTAGTTTGGCCAGGTAAGCAACAGAAAAACTGTTAAGATATACCTCTTCAACAGCTAGTTTGTGCTCTTAAAAAGGCTTTGTGAAAATAAAATAACAACACAATACAGACAGTGAATCCATAAAAAATAACCAGAAAAAGTTTCTAACTCACACTGCCAAAATACTTGTCAAGAAGTTCTACATAACGATGAATTATTTCCAGAGTTATTAGTTCATTGTCCTGATCTTCAATGGCACAGCAGAAATAGAGGCTTGCATATCTGTAATAACAAAGTTATCCTCATGTTAGCAAAAGACGAGTGAAATGAATGCATTTCAGAGGTATTAAATGCTCTGTAGTCCTTCAAACTCAAGTTTACAGTATTGATACTCTATATCAACAGCCATGCAAGTTCCATCAAAGAACAGCTTGGAGACCACCAGACATGCACGTGGGCACAAAAGGATCTGTCTGAGTCAAGCAAGACTTCAGTCTTTAATATTCTTTAATTGATGGAATTAAATTAGCTTAAGTGGTGGTTGGAAAAGGAAATACATTTAATTATTTGGCTCCCTGGCAGTTCAGAGGCAAGATGTTTACTGTACTTGCAACATCCAAGCAATGGTATACTAATAACAGATTAAATGTTAAATTTATATCACGTTAGTTCGGCATGTAGATATTAACATCTAATTGAAATGTCCTGGGAAAAATAAACTGAACTAGTAATTTAGGATTTGGTCTTTAGAGAATACAACTAATGCCAAAAAAATTCAAGACCAAGGTCATATACCCCAGTCACTATTAAGTCAACAACTTGATTACTACCAGCAGCTCTGGCGTCAGGAGAGGCTATCAGCTTGACTGCAGCATTTACTTCCACCTTCAAATACAAGGAATTATTTACCTCTGATATGATCTTGAGCTCCACTTTAACAAAAAGACCATCCCATTCTACTGTGCATTACCACAGAGTTGTTCAATTTCTGCCTAAAAACAGCTGATGGAAAACCAAATCAGGAAAACCTCCTCATCCTTTAGAAAAGCGCCAAAACCATATGCCACACAAATACACATGGCAGAAACGAAATCTCAAGTAAGACCTGTTTTAACTGATATTTTTTGTGAATGAGGAGCTGCTTTGGTTTGCCTGTTTAGAGAGAGTTACTGGCAGCATTAAACAGAGAAGCCAATCTGGTTTAAAAGAAAAAAGTCATCAAGATTTAAATGCTAAGTTTAAGATGCATATTCTTTTCCTGTATGCAGAAATCGATACAAGTTTGTAACACTACACAGAAATTTTACCAGCTGGGACTCCGTAAGCCCCAAAAGAAACTCCCACAGGTTTCATTTAGGATTCACATAAAAATTATTTTATAGTAGGTTTCAATTTGTCTCCCAGTCACTAAGCCACCATCCATGACAATGCTGCAAGTTCCACTCTCTTACCAAGTCAGATTGCCGTGGCTTATTTCATCATGAACACCTCATCAGAAATACTTCCATACAAAAGTTCTAAACTCTTATTAAAAAAAAAAAGAGCTATCCCACAAAACCTAACTTAGGGTGATGAGGGTGAAGGCACTTTTAGTGAAACACTTCACACTAATTGCTCTTTTAGATCTCTCCGTAGTGACTTGTCAGCTCATCTTAAGTCCTATTTGAGAACAGTTCTTTTGATTTTACACTGCTATGCTATTCCCTCTCGTTAATACTTCACGGACGTTTACAGCCATTGTGGTAGCTTACAAGATGTTATCTGTTTAAGACATCTTTCAGACAAAGCTGTTCAAAAGAAAAGTATTGGAGAGTTATGCTGTAAACAAAAAAAATTTTCAAGCCTCCTCAGTATTTTATTTTATTTAAGTCTAACTCCATGTTAGAGTATTAGCTTGCTTTGCTGACATTTACACTCATTACCTGCACCTAGGTGAAATTCATCTATACAAAACTTCCTTCATATTCAGATGAGCATGGGTAAACCATTCCCTTTCAGTGCTTAAACAATTTGAATTCTATATTGATAAATCTCATTAAATTTGACCTAAATATCTGTATTTAGCCACAAAGGAGACTCCTTGCGTTTCTCTATTACTTGAGAGTCTCTTTTGATGCACAGAATTATTTTATCTGAATACAAAAAAGAAGGGGAGAGAGAAAAAAAATACTTTACTTTGCATAGAACACTTTCCAGGAAAGCTGTCTGCTCTCAGTGTTCTCATTTAAAAGAAAATGAAACATACTTTTGAAAGACTTCATTTGGAAGCTATTAAGCAGAGTACACTTTCAAGCACTGCCAACTGCAGTTTTGGAGAAAGAAACTCAAGAAACAAAAACTACTCATGGTAACACAAAATGGAGTCTTGGGTATTTATCAAAATATGCAGAGAACATTTTCCAAAGAGGTTTTTTGTTCTTTTTTTTTTTTTTTTTTTTTTTTTTTAAAGTAGTAACTGCAAACAATACAAACACTCAAATTTCTGCTTTTAGGTAAGTGACTTTTATAGGTGTTTATTTTTGCGGAGGGAACCAAATTCATGAACATCCCCCAACACGTACAGAAATTCAGTAGTGGGAAGCCTGAAAACTGGCAATTAATCCTCCAGCCAAGTGCTCCTCTATGCTCACTATTTCTGCTGAGGTACCAGGTCACTACAAGCACAGCCTAACTTGCAAAACCTACCGTTTTAATGGTGCTCTACTATATGAGAGAACATCCACTGAAGACATCACTGGAAAGTTTGTAAAGTTGCTGGCTGAGAACATTCAGCATCTAAGTTGTTTTGCAGGTAAATTCTAACTACAGACATCTAGGGCCTACAGAGCTTGGAAGGAACAGAATTCAATTGGAAGAATATGGAACTAACAGGTGGATCATTCAGTGGACAAGAAATCAGTTGCAAGATCATACCCGGAGAATGGTGGTTAATAGTTCAATGTCCGGATGGAGATAGTGATGAGTAGTGTCCCTCAGAGGTCAGCACATAGGACCAGTGCTATGTAATATCTTCATCAATAACATCAACATTAGAATCAAGGGCACCCTGAGCAAGTCACACCAAGGTGCATGGTGAGGTTGGCACACCTGCAGGATGGGATGCCATTCAGAGAGACCTAGACAAGCTTAAGCCCAGGAGAACCTCACGAAGTTCAATGAAGCCAAGTGCAAAGTCTTGCACCAGGATCATGGCAACTCCCACTATCAGTACAATCTCATGTACAGATGTAAAGACGGAGTACAGCCCTGACAAAAAGGACCTCGGGTACTGGTGGATGGCAAGCTAAACAAGCACCAGCAACATGCTTCCACAGCGCAGAAAGCCAACCGTATCCTGGGCTGGATCAAAAGAAGCACGGCCAGCAGAGCAAGTGAAGTGATCCTGCCCCTCTACACCACGCTGGTGAGATATCACCTGGAGTACTGCATCCAGATGTGGAGTCCTCAGTACAGAAGAGACATGGAGCTGTAGGAGTGCATCCAGAGGAAGGCCACAAAAATGATTCAAGAGATGGAACGCCCCACTGTGATGACAGGCTGAGAGAGCTGGGGCTGCGCAGCCTGGAGAAGGCTGCAAGGTGACCTGATAGCAACCCTTCAGTATTTAATGGGGGGACTAAAAGAAGGAAGAGAGACACCTCAGCAGAGTCTGTTGTGATAAGACAAGGGAAAATGGTTTCAAACTAGAAGAGGGGAGATTTAGATTGGATAGAAGAAAAAAGGTTTTTTTTTTTGTTTGTTTTTTTTTTTTTACAGTAAGGATACTGAAGCACTGGCACAGGTTGCCCAGACACGTGTTGGAAGCCCTGTCCCTGCAGACACTCAAGGTCAGACTGGACAAAGCTCTGAGCACCCTGATGTAGCTGGAGGTGTCCCTGATCACTGCAGGGGAGTTGGACTTGATGGCCTTTAAACATCCCTTCTAACTCAAACAATTCTGTGATTCTGTAATTGAAAAACACCACAACACCACCTCTAACACGTAAACAGGTGCTTCAAGTAGCCTGAGAGTTTTGGATTTGGTGACAGGTTATCACAGTTGACTCACTGAATGTTCTAATCATTAAAATTTTCCTTGGGAAAAGATTATTTTTTTCCTCTTTCAAAGAAATTACATATTTTTTTACTGGAAGTTCTGAGATTCTAGAACACACAGAGCAGTGGCTATTTAATTAAGATACAGAAATAAGCAACAATAATAAAGCTATATGAGATTTATCTTGCAGTTTCCAATTTCAGCAGGCTATAACCTTCTATAGTTTAAGAAATGTGCAAAAAACTTGGTAAACCTCTGTAAGATAAAGATGCTGCTTCTACTTGGATGTATACAGAGGTCCTCCTAGTACCACAAGAATGAGAATATTGCACAGAGGACCCAATCAAGTTAGACTACCAAACCTAATTAACTATTATCAATACATCCATTTAGTTTTATAGTCACCTACTCAACCCCATAGTTACATTTTAACAGATTCAACTGGCAATTAGATGCACGTAAGGAAAGATAATGATCACGTCCTATGCTGGGCTTGTGCCCCTCACCACACGACAGCATCGTGGGATGATCAAAATGCTTCGAGTGGAGATGCACACACCTTGCAGAACGTGCTCTTTCTTTGGAGTAGGAGAGACTTTTTTTCTGTAAAGCTTTAAAGTAACCTGTGATTAAGGTTATTGTGCAGCAACAGCTGACTGTCACAACATTAAAGGCAGTGCAGACTGTGCCAATTTAAAACCATATAACATAAAGACAATCCCAAACTGCCATATAAAAGTCACATTTCTTGATCACATTACCTATCAATGATAACCAAGTCCTACAATCTCAGCATACCAAATGCTAACAAGAAAAATTTACATCAAGAACTTACTCCGCTTTTTCCTAGAGTGCAATATACTGCAATATGAAAATAAATAACACTGTCAGAAGCTAAAGCAGTAAGTAGTTAAGATCTTTGAAGAAAAAAAATCCTATTTTAAAGTCCTTTTTCACTAAAATACTAGAAATTATAACATTTAATATTGATTTATCTGCCAAAAGGGGAAAGCTGTATGAACTTCTATCCTATACGATCCAACACAACTAGTTAAAAAAATGACAAAACGAAGAGCAAACATTAACAGTATTCACTACGTTTCTAATCAGCTGTCTGCAGCCAATTCCCTCTCAATTGTTATAAAGCACAACTGTTAATGGATTCCCATATTTCAATTTTCTATCCAGCAAGCCGCTTCAAATCTGTCCCTTGAAATCAGAAGTTGAGATTCTTTTTAAGTGCCTACCAGCCTGAAAATCTCTCTTCCAAACCAACTGCAGAACATATCCAACCCAATTCACAAGCAATGTCAAAAACAGGGCACACTTCCACGCGTATTTTCAGATCTCTAAAGAACTTGTTTCTCCAATGAAAAAAAAATGCAGGTAACAATGACTGACCTAGTTTTGCAACCGTATCAATGCTACATGCATGGAACTAAGAAATAAAAGCAAAATATTCACATGGATTTTAAAGACCCCTGTAGTTCCATCATCTTGAAAACTCGTCCAGAAATCATTCCATGTGAATGATAAGGATGAAATAAAACAGAGCTAAGGAGGCTAATCAAAATCGTCCAGCCTTCCTGATAAATGTTAAATATAAGAAAGCAGCAAAAGCTACCAGCTTGTCAATTTTGCATTTGAGCTGGTTTTATTCTTGAAAAAAGGTACATAAATGAGACTCTAGAGTATACTTTTAATAATGTCAGCCATTCTTTGAGTTGCAATATCTAGGTCAACTCTAACACCTGAGAAGTTGACAGTTAATACACTCTAAAAGCAATCATAGCACAAATTTCAGCAATTTCAGACTCATAATAGCTATGCGTACATAATGTACAACTGCAATATGAACAACTTATACTGAAAAACATTTGCACTGGAAGGTTCAGATATTTCCCAATACTCAACCAGGTAAGAATAGATCTTAGGAGAGATGTGCAGGAATCTTTTGCCTGCAAACAAACATATGCACCTTGTGCAATTCCACAAACCATGCAAAGTTTCTGTTACACGTCTTGCTCTTTTAGCTGACTGCTGTTCAGGAAGTACTGGACCTTGACTACTGTAGCTGTCAGTATTACTGTCTGCTTCTGAGCTAACAGATCTGTCTTCTCAAAGCGATTACAGTAGTTGGGACTCATCAACTTTAGTTACAGTAAGATGATTGGAAAAAGTCTTTCCACAGAGACACGAAAGCAGTTACTGTTACCAAGCATACGATTTTCAACTCACTATCCCCTGCCACCCAGTCATTCTGGTGATGTTTTAGCTTTGTGTTACTTGCTAATAAAGCAAAAGCAGAGCAGAAACGGATATTAACTAGCTTGATACAAGCTAATCTTAAGCAATTTCATAGGCTAACTCTGTCAGATTGGTTTGCAGACAGCAAAATTACTACTGCAGTCAGCTGTGCACACCAGCAGTGTAGTAGATGGACTGCAGTCTACAGATACACAGCAGCAAGCACTATTCTCCTTGACCACAGACCCCACAGCACATTACCGAGATACACGAACACCACAACTTACAGTAACCCAAAAAGCCATACTCGGATTTCTATCAGCCTTCTAGGCCGGAAAAAAAAAAAAAAAAAAAAAACCAAAAACCACTCACGAAAAGTAGTTGCTAACAGCAGTAAAGAAACAAGAAAAAACAGCTGTGGAGTAAACTTACCACCAGAAGAGCTACCACTGTGCAAGGCTAGGAAGGGGAAAAGCCTTGCCTATGCATTCCCAGTTTTTCTGATCTAGTCCCATAAAAGCCAAGTGATAATGCATGCAAGTGCTTTTTCAGCTGAAGGGAATGCACAAAGCATTTCAGCAACTTTGTCTGCATGAATACGCAAGAAGTTTTGAGAGGAAATTAAAGGCAGAAAACACGTATGCTTCCTAAGCACAGACTTATGCATTGGTCCTCCTCTTCCCTCCTCCTAGTATTCCAGAGTTACCAGCAGTCTTCAGGTGTATGATGTTACATACACAGATGTTGTAGGTCCTGCTCTCATGTATACATCTAATACTTTTTTTTTTTTTTTAATTCTACTCAATTGGCTCATTGCAGATGTTAGAAATCCTTTGTTTCAACTCTGTCTTTCCTAAAGACAGCACGTAACAATACTGACAAGCATTGGAATTGTTTCCTACCTCTTAGAAAATAAGAATGTATAAACCTTCTGAAGTTTCTAACTAACTAGGGAAGGGAGTTAATTCTAGGTTCCGTAGCACTACCTTTAGATGGAAGAGATGCAGTCTACCAAACCGCAATGAGAATTACTGTTATTTGTGGGGACAATTATTTTTACACCTCTTCATTGTCATACATGCTAAACACCAGCATAAAGCTAGAAAACTCTTGTCACACACTCCAGAATGTTAGCGAACAACTAAGAAAGAAAAACAATGCCAAAGAGAATCATACAGTACTTTCACCAAAAGAAAAACACTGCCTGTGATTTTTTTAAGCTGGAAAAATGCTTTTGCATTCATAGCAAAATAACGTTCTACGTAGACTGAAACAAGAAAAAGTTTCTCTTATTTCTGTGACAGCCTTTAAAAGCAAGTTAAATTTGCAAGTTCATGAAGTCACTGCCTGAGGTAAATGCTTATAAAATCTAGTTTTTCTTTACTATACTCATTAAACCTTACATGTCTTATATTTCTATGCACTTATTTACTGCGGTCTTCTAAACATCTAAAAACCACCACTCCTCATGAAAGAAGAAGGAAACCTCATCTCTTCAGCACATTTGTAAATGCATGAATGACTTTCTACACATGAATGATTCCTACTTGGTTATCAAATTAGATTCAAGGGAAGTCAGTCTCCTCCAAAGCCAGTAGAGGGAAGAATAAAAAGGATAAATTAAGAAAAAAAAAAAAATCAACCATCATTATTTTCTTGCTACTTATTACACTGTTTCTGATGTATGTCAATTACGAGGTTAGTGAGAAAGAACAACCTTTTGTAGACAATCTTCAGGTCTCTCCATTCCAGGAAGCTGCACATTTTCGGTTTGCGGGCTAATACTGTTTGAACAAGTTCCCTTGTGATTTTCTTCTTTTCTTTGTCAGATAGTGGGACATACCACTTCTGGAGTCTCAGTTTCCCCTGGCGACTAAAAAGCAACATAAACTGCATCTGTTGAATTAGAAGGGGAAAAAAAGGATTATTCTCAGTCTCTTAGTTCTAAGAAGATTTCTACGAGGAAAACCAAGCAGGAAGCAAGATAGCCATCCAAAAGCCTATCTACATGATGTATTTCTACAACGGTGGCAGATGTTACACAAGATTCGGAAGCACCAATAAACACAAAGGATTCAGCTGAACAAGGTCAGTCAGAGCAGAGATAGTAGGAAGCACGCGCAACTTTCAGAACCGCGAGTCAGAGCCAGCAGGCAGCGACTACACCCGGGATTCTGGCAAACCACGTCCAGTATTGGTATGGTTGCGTTTGCATTTACTACAGAAAACGACAGAAAGCAGCACACCCGTCTCCTCCAATACCCAACCTCATTTCCAATTCACAGGATTAGAGCCTTACAGCAGGAGCAATTTGCGCTTAAGATCTTTCTGAAAAGCCTTAAAAATACTTTAAGAGGCATTAAATCTCCCACCGGAGAGTCCCACGGCATCGAACAGCCTTGCCTTCTCTCGCACTGCACAAAAGGAGTAGAGATTAAGTGCTTTCCCTGCGGTCCTACGTTCCAGGTCTCGCTTCCTCTACAGGAGTGATGTTGCAATTATATCTTTAGAGGAACTTGTCGGCTGTGTTTTCCAGCGGCTGTAACACTAAAGGAAATGGCTTTTTTTTTTTTTTCCTCCCCCTTTTCGCTCGAAGTTATGTCGGGCTGAGGAAGTTTCCCAGGCGATACGGCAGACGTGAAATCCCACGGAGAAGCCCAGCTCGCTCCCGGCTGACAGTCCGACGCGGGCAGGAGGCGGCAGCCCGGAGCTCCCGCACGGGCAGCCCGCAGCCGCCCTCCCTCCGGCCGCCGCCGCCGCCGCACCCCCCCCGCCTCCAGGGGACCCTCCCGGAGCCCCGAGCAGCTGCCGAAGGGCGCAGAGCCGCGGGCACACGGAGCAACGGGCCGGGCCCGCCCCGCTCGGGGCAGCCGCCGCCCGTCCCAACGCGGCCGTGTGAGCGGGGTGAGCGGAGAGCGGGCGGCCGCTCTTCCCGCAGCCGTCAGCGGCGTCGCGGAGAGCAGCGGGTCCCGCAGCGCGGGGCAGGAGAGCGCTCAGGGAGGCGAGTCCGTCCCCTCGCGGCGGTGCTCACCGTGCCCCGGAGGGGAGAGCGAGGACGAAGAGCAGGAGGAGGTGGCACCACTCCCGAGCTTGCTGCTGCCGCCACGACCGCCGCGCGGGACTGAGGGGAGGGAAGGGAGACGCCGCCGGCTCGAGCCCGGCGCCAGCGCGCGCGCGCCTCAACGGCCGCCCCCGCCCCCCCCCACACCCGCCGCCTCGCTCGGGCTGGCCGGGGCGGGGCCGGACTCACGGATGCCGCTCCCGGACGAGGGGCGGGAAAAAGGGGGGGGCGGGGCCAGCAGGGGACGGACACAACTTCGTTCGCCGCCTCAAGGGAGGGGCCGGCTCGGGGAGCGCGGCGCATGTGTGGTGCGGGAAGGCTGAGGAGCAAGGGGAGCTCGCCGCCGCCCAATTGGAGAGAGCGGCGCGGCGGAGGGAGGAACGAGGAAGGAGGCGGGGTTAAAGGGCTTAATCCTCGTGGCCCGAATTAGGATAGGACAACAGCCGCCGCGGTAACAACCAATCAGAAGGCGCGATGCAGATAGCGGTTCTCAAGCCACCAATGGGACGGCGAGGCTCGGAGTTGGGGTAGTGACATCAGTCAATCAGGCGCCCGGAGACAGAGGCTCCTCCTTCCTTCTCCCGGTCCCCGAGAGTGGCAGCTGGGGGTGTAGAGACGGGGTGGCGGTGCCGCGCGTGCGCAGGGCTGTGTTTCCTTCTAGCACGTGCGTGCCCCGCGTGGCGGCGGGGCGGAGCGGGGTGGGACGGGGCGGAGCGGAGCGCGCGGCGGGAGCCATTAGGCGGCGGGGAGGGGCGGTTACTGCTGAGGGCGGAGTGCTGTTTCTGCGGCTGTCCGATGGCGGTGGGGAGGGGTCTGTGCTTTGTCAGAAAGGCTTTTTCCCGAAGTCACCTTCTTTGTGGGCCTTAATTAGAGCCGTCGGATTAACCACGGTCATCTGTAGGGGGGTTTAGTTTCGCAGATGAGACTTTTAGGTGGTCTGGTGGTATAACCCCGTGATTGACAGCAAGGAGAAGAGCGCGCTCCTCTCTGCGCCTCTGCTGGGAGGCACTGCAGTCGCGTTGGGCTGTGTTTTGCTTTTATCTCTTCTTATTATTGGCAGTTAAGAGAAATAAATTTCTTCTGGCCACGAAATAGCTGTGGCAGTGGAAAGCGGGGCTGGAAAGGCTTTTGTGTGGAGAGTGGGTAGTTAGAGCCAATTTGCTGGCATTTCGGGGAATGCTATCAGCTTCTGTATTTGAGGAAAGCTGCAGATACACCGCTTTTCCTGTCTTATAATTGCAAGAGAAAGAAAACACACATGAAATTGTGTGGACGAGGCAATTCTAATGTTGCACTGAAAGTGGGAGCTGCCGTCGTAGGTGCTCCTGCCTGTTCTCTGCATGGTGTGAGATGTTTGGCGCTCTGGAGAACCCTTTTATCACTAGAGTGCTTCGTTCCTAATCGTCACTTTGCTGTTCTTGAATCAAACATCCCATATCCCATGGATTCTCCACAGTCGAAGTGTTTCTGGATCGTCTGAATCCTGATTTTAAGCCGGCAGCCTACTCACGTTTCACTTAATCTCATCTATTTCCAGTGCATTAGCATCATTATGGCAGGGAGAGCTCAGAAATGTCAGGTGTAGTGGGAGCAGTCCAGTCAGGCCAATCTTGGCCTGCTCCTGTCTCCTCCTCACCATTGCAGCTGGAGGATGTGATTCTCTCAGGCTTGCTGGTATTGCTGTTTGCGTGATCAGTCTTTAACTCATTTCTCTCAAAATGAGCTGGCTTATTTTAAGCTGCTTAAGGTGTGATTCCATGGTGTTTTCAGATGGTCTAAATCCCGGCGTTTCCCACCTCCTCTTTGCATTCCCAGCTCCGCATATTCCCATCTCTGTTCCTGTAGCTGCTGTAAGAGCTCGTGCTGCCTCTTGCTTCAGCAGCAAGGCATTGCCAACAAGGCTTATTTGAGCTGTACAGGTGAGTCTGTCTCGAGGTCCAGCACCTGTGTCAGGAGGGTGGTGACAAGCAGAGGTAATGCTGTCCCTTCTGCTTGTGCTGTTCCTTTCAAGAACTTCAGACTACTTGCTCCTGGCAGTTTGTTTGTTTTTTTTTTTTCCAGTGCTGTGGTTTGTACTAATTACCCCTCTTTATACCTACTCCATTGTACATCCCTGTAAGAAATTATCCTGTCATTTAGCCATTGAACCAGCAATATACTGAACCAGCTGTAATTAGCAAATTGATAAAGATACATAAGATGTTTAAACCAATAATATAATAGCCTCCACATTTTCCACAAACCCGTGACAATGCAAATGTCATGCATTCTAATTTTAGACAGCCACTGCATCTTCTTTTCATTAGCCTTTGCTTATTGTCTTATGGCCTGCCTTAACAAGATGGATTTTAAAGAATGACCTCAGAATTTTGATTTCTAAGTTGTGAGTGATAACAGTCTGCATTATTAAGGGATGGATTTTTGTAACTGCTATAGTTATAAAATCCTTTGTATTCTGTTTTAGACATAAGGCAGGGGATGTGTCCATTGACCATAAAACATTTGGGATCTCCAGCCAAGACTTTGCTCTCTAGATTATTTCCAGCACGACTGGAGACACAGAAGAGATCTGCCTGGAGCTGGGGAGAGAGACAGGGAAGGAGAGATGAAGGAAGCTTACACAAAATAAAATTACATTTGCTTGATTTTGCCTAATACAGTTTTGTGTCAGTTGTTGAGTTTTGATATTCGTTTATTTATAAATTAACTAGGATGCTGTGAATTTCTCTGGAATATGGATCTTATATCAAAATGAATGAGGTCAGCATTCTGGCATTTGGCACTTTGTGCAGTGTTTTAGTGCCTAAACTGGAATCCCTAATAACATTTTGTTTTGTTTTCAGTGTTAGCCAAGTAGCTTTTTGTTTATTAATTCCAATGGAGTATTTGTTTATTAAATTTAAGCATGGTTGCTGATTTTTTTTTTTTTTTTTTTTCCAGACATGCCCAACCCATGTTTAGAAAAGAAAGTCTTTGTTTCTGCCTCCCTTTTCACTGTCTTCATCTTCCTGAAGAGAAGACAGCATGCTTTAAAAGCACATTTTGTATCTTTGCCGGTCTCCACTGGAGTAGTCAGTGGATGTATCAGTGAGACTCATTTTATTGTTAATTTATCTTCTTGATGCACAATATCAGACTCCATTTTCATTGACTGAATAACTGTGGAGTCATTATGAAGGCAATAAGAACTGAGTTACTAGCCTTGGAAGTGATTACCGCTAGATTTTTGCCTCTTAGGCCTCTAAACAGGATGCTGCATTATTACATGCCATTCTCTTCCCTGATGTACTGTCTGAGCATTGGCCAGACTATCATGTACCACTGATTCATACAGAACGCTTAATCTCAGTGGAGCCAAAGTAAGTGTACATGAGATCGAAAATGACAGTTTTCATTGCAATGCTTTTTTTTTTTTTTTTTTTTTTTTTTCTTCCAGTATGGAGCTCTCTGTCTTGATGAAATACTATTTAGCACCATCTAGTAGTCTGATTGCTGGATGCTTCTAAGTCATCAGATCCTGCCTGGAACACTTACCTGCTTGTTTTTCCGTGTAAGTGTTACAGGTTTGTAAGAGAGACTTCTGGTCATTGAAATTATCTTAAATATGATTGGTTTCAAACAGCTGTGTATGCTTCTCCTTTAGGGACATGGATGTCAGGCCACAAAATGTGTGATAGGCAAGGCCACAAAATGAGCATCAGGGCTGTGCATCCCTGAAGTTGAATTTCACAGCTGGAGGAGTAGTTTGAAGATGAGGTGACGGTCTTCCAGCATGGTTATGTGAATTACAGAACCTAAACCATGGCTTACACAAGTGATTTTCCTTGGAAAATAAATACCTGCTTTTGAAAATATCTGAACGTGCAGAAATGAAGTGAGGAAATGTGGTAGTTGCCAGTCAGGCTGGGCTTTCCTTTGTTTACTGTGTTCATCAGCCTGAGCCTGGTGCGAAGCACAGCAGTCATTTGAATACAATGTGCATGAGCCAGCTGGCAGCATTGTCTGTTAGGCTAGTCAGCAGCAGGATTCTCTCTTTTACTTAGGTGATGCTCTGATCTTTTTTCAGAGTTTATATTGGAGCAGTTCTCAAAGGCCCTAGAAATGAAGCAGAAATGATCTGCTCCACAGAGATTTATGAAGAAATTGTCACGACTCTTACTTCCCCTCTCTGCTCCTCTGGTACAAACTGTGCCACAGAGCAGCAAAGAATTGAATCTTTTCAAAAGCAGGTGCATGAGGAAAGTTGTTTTTTTCTTTTACTTACTTGGGAGAGAAGGAAGGAGGGAGAGGAAGAAAAGGAAAGATGGGGCCTGGGATTTGTAAGACTATATCAGTACTTGAAGGAATCATTGAATAAAGCACCTCACATACATCTTGTTCATCCTCTGGCACTTCTAGCAAAGCAGTAGCTGTGACTGCAGTATGTGAAGTGGCTGATGCTACAGGTTAAGCAGGAAGTACTTACTGGGTCTTGCTCCTCAGAGAAAGATGTACTTGAGCAAGCTTCTGTAAGCTGCTCAGTTTTGCCCAGGAATGGAATTTTTTTTAATGTATGTGCCAGTATTGCACTGCTATATAAAAATGCACTGTGTTGGTTTTCTGAACGTAGTTTGATCTTCGTAAATCCACTGAAGTTCTCATTTAATCATGTATGTACACCTGTTCTCACTATTAGAGACATCCAGTTGATGATCCTGCAAGACCACTTGATCCTGCTCTAGTCTCGAGATAGCTCAAAAGATGCTGCCTTTTGCACCAAAGAGGCAATCCATTTGCCAACTTCTGATGTTCCCAGATTGGCATGCTGCTTTGTGCAACCAGGATAGAAGATAGAGGCTTGCACAGCATGTGTCCTAATTATGCAGCAGATAGAATATTTCATGGGAACGTGAAAACTGGTCTAAATCTGAAATAGTAACCTAAAACTAAAGTGTTCAGTGTCATAATCAGGCTCCCAAGTTTTCCAAGCTTCCACGCTGATCCTGCAGTATTATGTTAAGCTTTCATTTCATATCCTTCTAGATAACTCAGTCCAACTTCTTCCATTAGTCTAGAAAGAAAATATATTGCATGCCCTGTCTAGTTCTTGAGGGTAACGTAACGGAATGGCATATGCTTCTAGTCTTCATTTATTGCCATCTTCACAGAATCATAGAATCATAGAATGGCCTGGGTTGAAAAGGACCACAGTGATCATCCAGTTTCAACCCCCCTGCTATGTGCAGGGTCTCCAACCACCAGACCAGGCTGCCCAGAGCCACATCCAGCCTGGCCTTGAATGCCTCCAGGGATGGGGCATCCACTACCTCCAGTGCGTCACCACCCCCTGACTGAAAAATATCTAATATTTTCTAATATTTAACCTAATCTTTTTGGATGAACTGTTTAAAGAGTACAAAACTAGTGCAGCCAAAGGCCTGTAACTTACTTCTTATTTTGAAAACTTGAGAATGATTTAAATGATGCATAGATTTTGTTCTGGCTTTGTCCATGCATGTTCAAGTTTTATCTGTGTGGATTATAGTTCATCAAGCTATTTAGAGCCCCCACTGTTGCCTTTGCTTATTAAGGCCTAACTTTGTGGTGCCACCCTTGTCCTACCTTAGGCTGCTGAAGAGCAATCACAGTAAACATCTCTGCCAGGAGGATGTGTGCTTCAGTTGCAAGCGTGTACCTATGCTCTCCAGGTTTTGCAGGAAGAACCAAAGAGCAGAGGAAATGAGTGTAATACAACTCACTGTGATATGCTGTGAAAAAGGAATGCAGTTTTACAAAATCTTCTGTACTGTTGGCTTTATGCTTTCAGACCCACATACCCCGAAGCGTCTAAATATGTCTGTCCAGATGGGCTGGCCAAGATCATACACAGGATGAGAATGTTCTCTGTTACATCTTCATTGTTTCTCTGAGTTTCTTCTTGACTGGCGACTTGGCCCCTTTTTTTAATCTCTGGGAGGAGGTGATGTTTGGGATTCAGTGCCTGGTTGTATAAATACATTGTATTTATTTGGGTATTTTATGTCTCTCGGTTGTTTCTTCATATTGTCTGATGCTCTATCTTTAGGTCATCTTGTTCCTTTTTAATACGTGTTCTGCTGCTGCTTCTGGTGCTTTCACACACGTGTACACATGCTGCCACCCACACTCTGTCAATACCATTTTTATTATCAGTTAGAAATCACTGCAAGAGAACCAAATAGTTCCTCCTTCTCTGAACACTTTGTTCCTCAAATGCAAGCCTTACTTTTTATTTCCATCTCTGCTGTAGCATATGAAACATTGTTGTAAGCATGTCCCAGTAAAAACGCCCTATTTACTCTCTGACTTTAGAATTCCCTGTTCCAATGGCTCATTAGTGGAACAAAGCCAGAAGGAGATTCAATTGTTTGTGCAATTCTGAAAGGCCAGTGTTTCAAAACTGCAGAGTGTGCTATCAACAAGGATGAATCCTTTGGCAGTGCATTCTTTCTACTGCAAAATACTTGCTGTGTGGAGCCTAAGACCCTTATTACAAATTCATGAATGATTTTAATCCATTCTGGCAGCTTTCATAAGCATTGCAGTCATCTGGAAGCACAAAAGATCATTGGTTTGTGCAAAATAATACAGCTAAGCTCATATTTGATCTTGCTCTCTAGTGAGAGAGGAATACTTAAACTTCTTAAAAAAATTAATCAAGATAGGTTTCTACTGTGTTAGATTTAATAAATGTATTTAGAAGTCATGTTCTATAAGACATAATAACTCAGTGTAGAGTGTCAACAAAAGGAAAAAGGATATCTTGGGAGAAGGCCCTTAATATGTTAGAGTTGTTTTAAAATTATGTAAAACTTAACTACCGGTTGTCAGAAAGTAACCAACAGGATAATCTGGATATCAAGATCTCTCATCATCATTTTTAAACGCTTTCCGCAAAATGTGACTTTTCCTTTGAGTGCTCTTAACCTTGAGGCACTGTTTGTTGCAGAGACAAAACTGTCAGAAAGGAAATCGTATTTGAGAGCAAGCAGCTTTTATTTCCCTAGGGCACTATGGTACAAAATGACAGCAACAGTCGACAGGTAGCATTTATTGTGGTAAGTGCTTGAAGAAGTATCCAACAGCTGTTTTTAGTACAATTTTCATAATATTATTTTTCCCAGTAAGCACCTGTTGTAGAAACAAACGAGGTATTCTGTGATCACAAGTCAGAGACAAAGTTTGTGTGGGAGAGGATGCATTGAAATGAATGGTATTCCAGAGCTGTTGTGATTCTTCAATACAGTCAACTCTGATGCAAGTCCAAAACTAAAGAGTCAACTTTTAAAATCCCAGCTTTTATTTCTATAGAACACTAAGCATGGCTGAGCTTTAGTTAAGGCTCATAAATGCTATGAAGTCTCTGACTTCTATCTGTAGAACAAATTTGTCCCACTTGCTCAGATTTGCAAAAGGAATTCATGTAAAGGAAGCTTGTAATTCATCTCTCTTCCCAGACTGTCATGAAGAAATTGCAGTTTAACATCTTGCTTCGCCACTGAATAATCAGAATTAGGCATCTTTTCTCTCTATTCAGTCATGAATAATTAGTATTGAGTGGTACCAAAAAACAGTGTAATGAAATCACCCCCAGGCAACCAAAGATTCTGAAGAAATAAAGCCAGTTCATAAACTCTATCTAGACAAGAAAAGGAGAAAGAGAAAAGGGGTAAGGAAAGGAAGAAACAGAGAAAAAGAAGAAAAAGAGGGAAAGGAAATGAGAAAAAGTAAAGAAGGAAAAACAGAAAAGTGATTCAGGCCTGAAACAGAGCAGCAAACCGGGGCATATTTAGATTAGTTTATTTATTTACAAACATTGGTAGCAGATGGTTACCAACATTTCATCATTACGTCTTTTTAAGCAAACTTAAAAGCTGTAAGAAACAGCCCAATTTAGCAACTCGCCTTCTTTAGCCCACTCTTAACTTACATTATCCAGAACAAATTCCATTACAGTTCATCACACAGCTAAGTAGCTTAAAAAAGGAAATAGATCCAAATGTAAAACCAAGAAAAGTGGCATAGTTGTCCAAAACTGGAGATCAGTTGTTTCTCCACCATGGATGCCTGCTTTAGTGATACTGGGTCTGTATACGAAGGAGCATTTTCAGAAGATTTCTTCCTCTCCCAAATATGGAGTGTGCCTTTGCTATTATATCTTATAGAGGCTATAGAAGCAGACACTATTGGAGGAGATAGAGACCTAATTTATCTCACTGCTCTCTTTGTAAATATTCAGCAGACAAACTGAGCTAGGCCACTCTTTTCCCACATTACCCTTTTATTTCCATGCACCACACTAGCAGCCTGAGATAAGGTGATGACTGACAGATGATGGCGACTAGTCAAATGGATGCCTGTCATAAACATCTGCTAAGAAATGCTGTATGAGGAAAATAAAATAAACAGAAATAAATTCAAGTGAATTTCCCCAGAAGAACGCCTCATATCTAAGAGTTGTCATACTGGACAGATAATAGTTTTTGTTTAACTTCCTCTGAAACAGTTTGATTCAGCTGGGCTCCACTCTCTCTTGTATATCTAACTCATTCAGAAATTCAAGAAGAAAGATAATATTTTCATGGGCAGCTGGAAGGAACTGCTTGTGATACCAAAGTGGAGATGGAAGAAAACATCGATTAAATCACCATAAATGAGATGAGCAATATAATGAGCAAACAGTGATTTAAAAATGGAAACATGAATGTTTAGTCTGTAAATATTTAGACAGGAGCTGAATTTCCTGTTCCTGTTCTAACTAGTGGCAAGGGACAGGGTCATCACTTGTTAAAATGGGTTTCACTACAGGTGGTCCAGAGATCTGGATACTACTACTGCTTCCCTGTCTGACTCGGCCTCACAGTCTGCCTGGGTACAGAAACCTCTGTTCAGCATGAACCCAAAACGTGTCTGTGTGTGTGAGGCTATCTCTATAAAAGAATGAAAGACTATACACTTAAAAATCAAAAGAATTACCGAATACACTCTTTTGTTCCTTGCTGGGAAAATCCTGTGTACAGTGGCAAAGTAACCTCATAAAAAGCAAGTGAAGTCTTAACTGAAAGGGGGTTTAGAATATGCTGATTTAACTGATTACATTAAAAATAATCAGCAGGAAAAAAAACACATCCTATCTCATTTATATGTAGTAAATGCTCAAAACAACTTCTATGAGTGAGCATTTACTTAATTAGAAGTGGCGTGCTTTCAAAATATTCTTTCTGCGTGATTCGACACATCACACAGCAAGTTTCACTTACGACTAAGGCATGCATATTTAGATGCAATGTTTGTAGGCTATAAGCCTGCTATATTTATTCACTGAGGACCTGCGTCAAGAGTTATGCAGGCCCTAGCTTACACATTAGCCCACTGCATGAACATTTCTATGCCAAGGTCTGAAAGATGCTCTCGTTCCCTCATTGTTCCTGCACCACTCTTGGGCAGTGGAGCACAGAGCTGGCTGCGCTCTGTTTGCTGCAACCCATCCTTGTGCCACGCATGTTGGCCCTAGCACATGCAGGGTGGCAGAGATGGGGACAGAGATGCAGGGCTGACAGCACTTTGGTTTGTCTCTGCCCTCACTGCCAATCAGCCCAGTCCTAGAAACAGATGGGCACTAAAGCAGTTCGGGGCTTGGAAGCAGTGCCAGGCTGAAACCACCAGTCTGAAGGGTGGATGATGGATGGGGGTAGACTAGGAACTGGCTGGGAGCCCTGAATCTCTCTGCAGTTTCAACATCACTGCACTGGAGCAGACTTTGGCAGCATCCAGTGGGCGCTGAATCATCCTGCTCAGCCGGGCTGAGGCTGCCCTGCCAAGGAACTGTGCCCAGCTGGGATTGGGGCAAGCTCTGGGGCTGGGAATGCTCCTGGTTTCCTAGTGCAGCCACAGCCACCTGCTGAAGGCAGATGCATCTGGTTCAACCCCGAGAAACAGGCAGATTTACTGGACCCCAGGTCAGCAGATTTATGGAGTTGATGTTTTCCCCTTTGTGCCACAGAGTGGAGCCGGAGCCTTTCCATCCCTTGGGAGGCAGAAACTCAGGGCCTGGCTGGTGGTGGATGCAACCACTGCCATTGAACTCATCTTAAAAGTTGCTAGTAATGACATATTTAGGCTACAGCAGCTCACATTTTCATTAGTGATGCTGCTTCTGGAGAGGAATGCTGAGTAGTAATCATTATTATTGCTTTAGCAGATTGTATCTGTGCACTGCTGCCACCTGCCACTCTGTACCACGCTGCAGAAGCAGCCCTGGCTTTAAATCCTAGTGGGTGACCTTATTATCAGCTCCATGTTTTCAAAACCCACAGGAGGCCGGCCCCAAATTATATGACTTAGAAATAAATATATTGGAGGAGGCTTCCTTTTCATTGCAGCTAAGCTCCTAGGTCTTTAGCATCCACGCAGGTCTTTTTTCATTATTCTCTCTGCAGCAGGCTAAGATTTTAGGCGAGGGGAAGAAGGAGGAAGAGGAGAGGCAAGTGCAAAAGGAAAGGAGGAAATGGAAGGAGGAAAGGGAAGAGGGAGGAAACAAAAGAGAGGAATAGCAAGCAAGCAAGGAGAAAAGGAGAAAAAGAATTCTTACAAAACTGCATCAGAAGCTGTAATTTGAAGGTAAGTAGAAGATACAATATTGCACATATAAGCAGAGATAATGGCACCACCAAGACTTGGTTCACTGAACTAAAGTGAAAAGCAGAGTATGTTAACATGTTGTACCTACCAACAGCTTACCAGCTGAACATTATCCATGTAGAGCCACCCCATTCCCTTCCCATAAACTGTCCAGTGAGAATTGGTGACGTTGAGTTTTCTTGTCCTCTCGTGATTCCTGGGTTCTAACCCAGGAGCCCAGCCAATGGACTACCTGAGTGCTGAAGTTTAGTTTATTTTTGAAGTGAGAGTGCTGGGATTTCAAGCTTTTCACTCAAGTGCTCTCTTTTACTTTCTAAGCTATTGGAAATGTGGTTCAGAAAGACAGAGTAATTCA